TATTTGCATTGGCTTAAGCTGCACCAGGAGACAAAGGGCCTTTCTACTTTAACAGCATTCAGGAACGCCTTGCTTTACCAGTAGACCACAATTTTAGTCCATATTTGCTTCTTTCTTCTTTTCCTTTTCTTTTTGACTTCTTACTTTTTTCCTTGTTAGCCGTGGTTGCCGTCTTGTAATTTAGTGGAACCTGTATTGAGTAACTGAGTTTTATGTTTCGTTACATTGTCGACAGATCTCCTGTGTAACGGTTTTGTGGCACAATGATTATAGCCATTATATTTTGTCGTCTCCATTCTTGTGCAATCATGCATATGTAGGTTGGTTCTCTTCATGTTATTGTGACCAATTTCATAGATGTTGGTTGCCTTGTTGCTTTCTCTCCCCTCTCCTCTCACCCAAGCCATTCCGCATAAGCGAAGCTGTGGACGCAGCATACTGCTGCTACACTTCAACGCGGGAATGCGTATAATAATAATAATAATAGCCGTGGTTGGCAATAAAAAGTTCTTAAAAACCCTGCAATCGCCGCGCAAAGTGGTCATTGGCTACCCCAGCCATGTGTTGCTTGGAATAAAACAATAAAAAATAATAATAAATGTAGAGGCGTGTTTACCTGCTGCTGCCCATGTCTCCTGACATGCAGTATCCACGTGAATGAATAGTGGCGGTCATTTGTGTTTCTCAAATTCTTTTTCCATGTTGGCCTATGACCTCTGGCTGGTTGGTGGATCCGATCTATCCTTCCGCACCATTTTAAAGCTGCACCTAACGTCTGAACATGGGGAATCTCACGAAGGCGGAAAGGTAGTCTTTGATCCACCACCCTGTACGTGGAATACATCATACACATGTACACCCTGTACGTGGATCCACAATACATCTTACCAGTATACAATATCATGCTTTTTGCGCCTTTCGCCTGCATCAACTCCTCGTCACAAGATTAAACACGGTCGTGTTTATATATCGGCCCCATGTCATAATCAAGCATGCGCAATCATGTACTGCACATGCCACACGACGTGGCTGGTTCGAGCCTGTTGGTTAAATAGTTTTTCGTCCTGGTCATCATGCGTGACCTCAGTCTCTTCCTCTCGCGGAGACCTTTCGAGGAAGCCCAAGATTGTGAAGATTGAGTGAGTAGAACTGAAGTTACGTCCCGAACAATTTGAAAATATGCGGAATTTTGAAATTTCCAATCGGCTCTCAAAGGGTTAAGTATTTACTGTCTGTGCAGCGTTCCCAAGTCAACTCTGATCGTTCCCTCTATCCCATATCCCATCGATCTAGCTGGCTAATGTCCCATGGCGAACAACTGCCATCCAGAGAAGCACAGTTTTGGGTATGTCTCGGACGAGTTCACAATGTGGAGGGTCAGCTCACAGACAATTGTTCCGTTGCAGGTGGCCAGTTCTCATTGTAATCACACGCAGAACATGTCCTGGTCGCCAGTCTCCTGCGAGCATCAAGAGTTTCCGCTTGCTGCTAGCAGTGAAAGGTGATACTTGAGGACGCAGTTCAAAACGACATTCACTACACTGGAAATCATTAATTTTCAGGATGTCACTCATTATTAGTGTTTGGCGAGACACACTCGCAGCAGAGATGACTGTTGTTAATCGTGGGTGACTGTGCATTTGCAGCACTTGGGCCATGACATTATGTTGTGAAGTGTTATCTGCCAGTGATATCTGGCAGTAAAAAAGCAAGAAGGGGTGATTAAATCGACCTTACTAGTATGCCATTTGTACAGATCCACGAAATCCCGTAGAATCCCGTAGACCCGGTAGGGTGTTCATTGTGTGCTATGCATGCCCATTTGACCTTTTTAGCGTCATAATTCAATAACCAGCAATCGCTTTCCCAGCTTCTTCACTTTAGTTAGAACCAATGACTAGCTAGATCTTTGTGAGAAAAAGGTTTTCGTATGAAATGCCTTCAAGCCCCATTTCTTAGTGGAAATAGCAGAAAACACAATAGGGTCCTGCACATTCAACACTCTACCGGGTCTACGGGATTCTACTGGATTTCGTGGATCTGTACAAATGGCATAGGGTCCATTACATCCGACTGATGAGAAAGTAGTTTGTACATGTTCCTACATGCACATCATACATGTATGTAGATGAAGAGGATGTTCATGCTTCCACAACTCTGACAGGCATTTTTCACTAGTTTGCGTACCGGACGTACATGTAAGTACATTATTGTATTGCCCATTTGCCATGCGTCACGTGGACACACACACATACACACACAGTCACACTCTCTGACTACATTCACACACACACACATACACACACCACACCCCCCCCCCCACACACACACGCACACACACCTTAGACCTGAGACCTGCCCATCGCAGAAGCAATGATAGCGAACAGCTATGTTAGACATAGCAACTAGTGCTGGGATTACACCATTCAACAGCTTGCAAGGCTGATGAATTGACCGCCACTAATTTTAGCCTGGTATCCACCACACAGCTGATTGAAGTGGCTTTTTCTGGCCAGTGAATCCCTATTTTTTCATTTTTTCATTTCTTCATTTTTATTCTTTTTCTTTTTTCGACACATACACATACACACACACACACACCACACACACACACACACACACCATTGGACCATTGGACGATTGGACGCCCATCGCCTGAGGCGATGATAGCGATGCTACAGCAGAAGCCATAGCGACTTGTGCTGGGATTGCACCATTCATCAGCTTGCAAGGCTGCTATTCAGCCTGGTCTACACCGCACAGCTATAAAAGTAGGGATTCACTGGCCAGAAAAAGCCACACACACACACACACACACACACACACACACACACACACACACACACACACACACACACACATGCACACACACACTCCGCAAACCACAGTGATCCTTATCCTGTTTCGTGGTATGGTTGAGCGGGGGCCCGGGGGGGGAGAGGCGTACAAGTGATCGCGTACAGGTGATCGCGAGCAAGAGAAAATCCTCAGCGGATAATGTCGGCAGAAAAATCGGCAGAATTCGGTACATTTTCTTGTTTGTTTTGTGGATGTCTGGGCACATGTATGTAGATCATGAAATGGAGCAGAATTCAAGAAAGTGCCTGCAATACGGGGGGGGGGGGGGGTGGAGGGGGAGGATACAATGTCAAATCATGGTTCCGAAGTCCAAACGGACCTATTCCTTGCTTCTGATCGATGTCCCCCCCCCTCCCCACACGCGCAGGTGTATATCGTGGATCTCACAGGGACCAGTTCCACATTATAGTCGCTGCGAAGTTTGTTGTGGAGCGCCTTTACCCCCTGTTTTTAAAGTTCATGTCCTACCACATCCAAATCTAGCGTCCCTTGAAAGTTCACTTTCATGGCTAATAGTCGCATGGTCTCTTGCCCCAAGAGACCTCTGCGCTCTGTGCTTTCTCCACTCCACTTTTGAAAGTTATCTTCTCTTTTCTCCCTTTCCATTATCGTAAAATATTTGGCATGATCGTCCGTTTGATGTACTATGTAAAACAGAATAACTACACTGAATAACAACACAGAATAACTACACTGAATAACAACACAGAATAACTACACAGAATAACTACACTGAATAAATGGCTTAGGTTCTCAGTTAGGTGGTAACTAGATGTAAATGAAAGTATAGTCTGTTGGGTCCCCAGGCAAAATATCAACACCAAATCAAGAAAATTGCACTCAGAAATTGGGGAAATTGTATTGAGAAGGTATGGCATTACATGATGTAGAGAGTCCCATTTTTGAAAGTGAATGTCCACTCGAAAGCTTTACTCAAAGTTCCAAGTTGGATACACAGCTGACTCCACTCATAACAAACTCGTATTGTTATAGTAGTGAATTTCGTGCTAGCGACCATGGTCCATTTCCGGCCCTGTTTGAACCGATTCAAAAATGACCTTTGGTAGCGAACTGTTTTTGTTTATAACGAACTATAATAATATCTTGCAGGGCGGTATGATAACCAATTGCACTCATGCAGTCATGGACCACATGCCAGTCATGACGTGTTCTTTTTATGGTGTGAGAGCATTTCTGTTGTAACAAACTTCGGATATAAAGAACTAATTCTCCTGCAAGATGGTGGTCGCTACATCAGGAGTCGACTGCATAACATGCTCCATTCTGGTGGAGTTGTTTAACCTGCTTCACTTCAGGAAAAAAGCACTCAAGCCAAAGATAGACTCGGAAGGAGAGCCAATGATTAATAATTTATAGTAAAGAAAAGCACCAAAGAAACTACATAATTATAAGGTCAGCTTTGTGCAATGTTATCGCATGAGCTGATTGTCAAGTAACTGGGGTGTTAGTGAACATTATAGCATAACTTTTCTCGCTCCACATATACTGGCACACACAGAGACATAGACAGCAATAACGACACTACACAAAGTGAAGGGTAGTTGGCCGAAGCCAGATGTGAACCGGATAATGAGTGAGGTATGGAAGCAAGGACTGAGAACAGAGACGGTCTCAGATAGAATAGGCGTGCCAGTGGATAGCAAAAATAGGCCATGATTCAGAACCACTTGGGACCGTCAGATTAATTTTTCTGAACCGAGCCAGCCGGGAAAAAACCCTCGCGCCGACGTACACAGTTGTGAGGGATAAAAACCGGGTGTATATCCCCAATGGCGATTAGGCATTATGTAGGCATGGTAAGCACATCACGGCAAAAAGTGATAAAAAAGCAATGATAATAAGCACATAAATGAAGTGCGGGAGGGCAGGGACACTGGTAAGACTCAAAACTGACAGAAGAAGTCAGGAAAAGAAGCGACAATAAAGAACACACCAGATGCCATATTTGCAACAAAAAATATTTCGCGAGAAATCAGTTCTCGCCTATCTCGCTGCGCTCGGCCGGCGAGAAATACAACGTACTTCCTTGGTCCCTTTCTTTACTATAAATTAACTTAGCCCAAAGATACCATCTCATCATACCAACTGACCTGGCTCCTTCAATAATGATACGACGATCATGAGTTCACTGCTTCAAAATCAACTTCAAGGTGAACATAAAAAAAACATCTCCATCATTTTGCGAGAACTGTGGCAATACGCCCAGTGAGAAGGCATTTCTCCTGTGCCTATGGTGAAAGAAAATGAAGCTAAACAAACAAACAAACAAACAAATACTAGTAGCATGAGCTCCAGTGTGGGGAGCAAACCCTTTTCAAACAAACATCACCATTGTAATAATTACTACTGCAGTTCATCCGGCAGTACTACTTGCAGTTTGACCAGAGATGCCGTACCGGAGCTCAGCTGTGTGGCCAGCTCGGCATTTTCACACACGTATTCTCGGAGACACGGATAATGGTCTTCATTTCCCACTGTGACAACATCCGACTCATTCTTCGTAAACCCTTGACCAGTGAAGAGCTCCAAGAGGCGTAATTCACAGTAGAGAAAAAGACGCGTTTGCCAGGCCGAGCGAGGAGCTGCAAGTGCCATGAATCTGCTATAGTCCATTAACTGGCTGGGCGATCGTTTTATTGAGAGAAAATTCACGCCGTGCGCCTTCTCGTAATCGGCAACTGAGCGCGCACGGAACTCGCTCAGATGCCGCATCACGTCAGGCACGGCACCGGGGTAGAACTGGCGGCAAAGCTCCACGATACCACTCCACGTTGCTGGCACGCACTTCGGCAAGTGCGCGTCTGCGGGTTTGTCATCGGGCACGTCTTGTGGATTAGCCTGGGCAAGAGCAGCACCATGACTGTCATCGCATTCGACAATCTTGGCCTGGAAGAGCAACAGCCATGCATGATTCTTGTCCACCTCGCACTGCACAGGGACAAGCAAAAGATCCGGAAGCAAAGCACACGCATCAAGTTTTCAGGCACTGCAAATCGTCATCATTCTGCATCCAGAACAATCGGGTGATGTAGACTTAGCACCGTCACACAGCTGTGAGTAAATATGCATAATGTGAAGACGTTCGGTTGGGCCTGTGTTACGAACCGTATTCCAGAGTATACACCGTTCCCAGATTTTTGCTACAAATCACAGACATCCACCGTGTTCATCACCACACAAATCACAGACATCCACTCTGTTCATCACCACACAAATCACAGACATCCACCGTGTTCATCACCACACAAATCACAGGCATCCACCGTGTTCATCACCACACAAATCACAGGCATCCACCGTGTTCATCACCACACAAATCACAGACATCCACTCTGTTCATCACCACACAAATCACAGACATCCACCGTGTTCATCACAAGTAATGCTGACGGCTGGGTACACGTCACTGGCCACAGAAAGGTGGATTCTTGTCATATGTCACTGGAATTGTGGAGATTATGGCGAATATCTATTACTTGTCCTAGTTGACGTTTACCGTATTTTCCCGAATATAAGTCGACCTTTTGTGCGCCAGAAATTTCGCCAAAAGCTGGTGGTCGACTTACAAACGGAACTTGACTTACATACAGGAATCTGGCACAACAAATGAAGTGACTGCAGTGTCCGTACAAAAATGCACTACCGTATGAACCATGTGAACTTTCGTTCCGCGAGTGACACTGGTTTTGTCTTACTGGCATGATATGATCTCTCCTCGCAGAGAACTCATCATTTTGTATGTGTTTTTATTTTTATTTATTTATTTTTTTATTGAAAAACCACAAACCTTCAGACATGTGAATGTGCACATGATTGGGTGTCATGGAGCTATAAAAACTTTTTTTAATGAAATTGACTCCTGGATTTGGGGTGGTCGACTTATAATCGAATTCGACTTCTATTCGGGAAAATACGTATACGCTTTTACACGTGCTTGCAGATCAGTATAGCTAAACATACTCTAAACATACTCTAAACATACTCTATTAGGGATATCAGCGAACACACTGCGCAGAGGGTTTGCGCAGTTATGATGTAATCGAATTTTGTACATGTCTACATGCACGCGCGCGGCCAGAAAAGTCCAAGTTAGAAAATGAATATTTTTGCCGGGAAACTGGAAAGAGTCTTGATGGAGAAGAAGGAGAATGGCGGCTGAAGTCGGAACCTTGCGCTCAGGATCTGCCGTTTCGTTCATTGCTTCGTATATTCGCTGCTGGTGAAGGATTCGTGGGTAGAGAGTGACATGCCTACGGTAACAGCCACGCGATCAACTACAGATGAGCCGAGCCCCAGGACTTTCTTCAGACGAATTTTCAAATTTGTCCTTCGATGCCCAAGGAGCGTGGGTGAATCGAAGGCGATTTTTTACAACGTTCCCACCGGAGAAATCTTCTAATTTTTGGTGAACTGGTACCTCACCCATGGATCTATCCATGTGCCAAGCAAGAAAAAAATTGACCGAAGCAATGCAAGGTCCCAGAGGTGAAAGGTGCACAAGGTCGATCATTCAAGAAGAACTCAGGAAGATGAAGAAGCTTGGACGATCGACGAACATGGGCCTGTCGTCCTTCAACGATTTTTAATACTGTGTGTTTTGTATAAGTTCGTTAGTGTAATTGCTGGCAGAAGATGCCCAAAGTGAGGTGCATGCACAGTAGTTGGACATAATCAGAATCGAAACAATGGGGGTCTGTTCACAGCAGTATGTGCTTTCAAATTATTCCAAAAATTATGTACATGTAGGTCCGAGCCTAGCCACGTTCGACCAGTCGCCATTTTATTTGCGTCAATTTTTTGTCCCCGCCAGTACGTACATTGGTATGGTAGCGCTGAAAACTGCGCAAACCCCGTGCGCAGTGTGTTCGCTGATTGTTGTTGTTGTTTGGCTTTATTTAAAGTGGAGTTCCAAAACAGGCCTAAACCTAATGACAATGGTCCCACTGATAATAAGAGAAAAGAAAATATAATAATAAGCGGACAAACAGAACCAAGAAGAAGATACAGCTGTAGTTAGATAACCAATATGAGCACGGCAGCAGGGGAAAAAAAAAGTCACAAGCACGGCAACCGGGAAGAAAGGAGTGAGTGAGTGAGAGAGAGAGAGAGAGAGAGAGAGAGAGAGAGAGAGAGAGAGAGAGAGAGAGAGAGAGAGAGAGAGAGAGAGAGAGAGAGAGAGAGAGAGAGAGAGAGAGAGAGAGAGAGAGAGAGAGAGAGAGAGAGAGAGAGAGAGAGAGAGAGAGAGAGAGAGAGGTAGTGAAGCAGATGAGTTCATCCTGCTGATATCCCTAACTCTATGTTAACACCATACACTACAGTGGTGTACAACTGCACATACTACACACAGTACAGGAGCATGGTAGATCACATACTACACACATTACAGGAGCATGGTAGATCACATACTACACACATTACAGGAGCATGGTAGATCACATACTACACACATTACAGGAGCATGCTAGATCACATACTACACACATTACAGGAGCATGGTAGATCACATACTACACACATTACAGGAGCATGCTAGATCACATACTACACACATTACAGGAGCATGGTAGATCACATACTACACACATTACAGGAGCATGGTAGATCACATACTACACACATTACAGGAGCATGGTAGATCACATCCCATACAAATAACACGAGCCTGGACCTCGCTTATCCGGTCCTCTTTTATCCGGATCCCTCGCCATCCGGAAGAAAATCGTTGGTTATCGATTTTCAGCATATGTCATACATACAGTATGTGTGGTCGATTATCCGGTTCCCTCACCTACCCGGATAATTTCGTGGAAAACGGATGTGTGCGGTTAAGCGAGGTCTGACTGTAGCTCGCATCCCACAAGTCGAAAACACTTCCAGGCTCATTTGATGCTGTTAGCCATTTTTTAAAACAGGTACTGATTTCCCGTATCTTTTACCTTGAGGGTGATGAACTCGCGTGTTAGACCGAGGGCGAGCAGGACATCATACGGTGACTTGCACGGCAGAACGCGGCAGGCAGTATCTCGGCCGGCAACGAACGCCGTGCGCCGTCCTGATGCCTCACTCAGCCTTGTCGGCACAGTACCACTTTGTACCATGGACACCCTGCACATGACGTTTGCCGCAACTTCATCATCGGCGAGTCGACGTGCTGCTGTCTTTCCAGAGTAGAAGTTGGTTAGATGGTCAGCGAGGGCTTTAGCGTCCATAGTGACTAGCTATCTCAGTGACCTTGTATGGTTCTTCCATATGAGTGTCCAGTACACTGAACAGCTTGCTCTGCAGAGACAGAGACGGAGAGAGAGAGAGAGAGAGAGAGAGAGAGAGAGAGAGAGAGAGAGAGAGAGAGAGAGAGAGAGAGATATTAGACTCCATAGCAACAAACACAGAGATACGTAACGGAGAGCACACACACGCACACACGAACACATACAATGTAGAATATAGCAACTGGGTGTCACTATCTGCTTGCGTGGCGGCGTGTTTGAACAGCAAACTCCAAAATCAATGTCATTTCCACAGGAAGACTACTGGTGTCTTCATGACTGCCAAAGTGCGTGCTATATGCTACAAGTTCAAATATCATGCTACATACTTTTCATCACGGCTTGATTGTTTTGTTAAAATCTTTTTCTACGAGTACTGTAATTTCAGAGTTTTCCTCAGTAATTCTTTTCATACTACAAGTTTCAATACTTTCACAAACACTGACAAGCATCATACAAATGGGAGCTGCCTCTCTGTACGAACCAAGAACTTTCTATTTTAGATCACAGCATTATTTTAAATTTTGTGCAATTGTCTGCTCCTCCACTACATGTCTACATGTACCAGTTTTTTTCATGCTCTTACCGTCACAGTGCACGCTACGCTGGGGTAGTTTGTACCAGTAAGATCAAAACACCGCTAGCTAACGAACGTCAACCGATTAGCAAAAAACAACTCTTCTCTATGTAACTACGTACCCGGGTCGACTCCATACAAGTAATCTGCAAATACCAGAAATACCTAATGGCCATCACCAGGCTATGCACTGCTCCAGTGAATGTTACTGATTGAACTAGTACTAGTACTACTAAGTCATGTAGTACTAGTAGTAGTAGTCTTGCCTCTTGCTGTCTCTAGGTACTCGTACATCTACGATCCAGTACAATGACTATGTATGTAATCCGCCAATTATTTTCAAACGCAAACATTAAAAAAAATAATTCGGGTGGACACACCCTGTACCCATTCCCATAGCGCTGCATATCACATCCGAACCAGTTCCGTTATTTTATAACGGAACTGGTTCGGATGTGATATGCAGCGCTATGGGAATGGGTGTGTCCACCCGAATTCTTTTCACAGATGAAGCTGCAGGAAGCCTCAGCCCTTCTTCAAAATTAAAAAAAATAATGTTTCAATTATTTTTGAAGTCAACATTATGTTCCCACCGAACAATACATGACACGGCTAGGCTGTTAGCTGCACTTGGATCGCGGCAACTTACTTAGTTTTCTGCACGTGAACCATGAAAAATCAATGCATGCTCATGCATGTTCATGCATAACCAGTCAGCTGGCCTGCTCGCCCACGCATTTGACAGGTAACAATTCCATCAAATTTGAGATATCGCTTCGTTCTAAGTCTCAAAACAGTTCTAAAGTCACCAAACCACGCTGGTAATCGATGGCTATTCAATGTTAACATCTTCAGGAAGACTTCAGCCGTTTCCCGAGAGTTTGGGCATCGTTGCCGTTATTTTTCACGGTGTTCTTCTTCCTCCTGTCTGGAGCTGCAATTGCATCCTGGAATTATTTGAAAGGTATTTCGTGCGGGCTGTGGGGGGTTCCAACAGGCATAAACTGACATCGCTATAGGATAACTGGTAACTTTCACCCTTCAAGGAGGTAGAGCAATGAGAATTTTTTTGTGGCGGTCGTCCAATTTTTGTGGCGGTCGTGGCTGTATTTGTGCACTTCCAAGGCTTTCATTCTGCCTGATACTACTCTCTACTGTATGGGAATCGTTGTTTAGGCACATGTAGCTGTCTTATTTGGTAGATCTGCTGTTTTCAATCACTTGGGACACTTTGTCTAGCCTATTTGTCTTTCGTTCGTGCCATCTATCAGTTTTGTGGGGTGCCTTGACCTGTATTTGTGAAGTTCTCGAGTAAAGACCCTAATTCTTGACTGGAGTCACGTCTTGAATTGAATTTGCTGGGTGAGCCCTCGTTCACGCGGTTGTACTTATCGTAATAGTCAATATCTGCTTGCTGGACGGACTAGCGGCTAGAATAGGGATGACCAAATGGTCCAAGTGTGTACTAGTATAGTACACGATTATTGTTTCCATCAACGTGAAATGAGCGTTGTGGAATTGCAGTCGTCTGCCTTTGGCACTGAGGACATGAGGAGAGTTGATTGTTACTTCTGCTCAGCAATGAAGCGATCATCAGCTCTCTTTGTTCTAATTATTGAGAGGACATACAGGCATCGCTATCAAGTGAAGATTAGGCAAACCTCGCCAATCTCCAAAGAGAGTCGAAGATATTTTCTCCAAATGCAAAGACGATCTTTGTGAGTTTGTGACTTGCATTTGCGTGCATACATGAGCAAGTCACGGACCACGGCACGTGCGCGGTTACCATGCCATCTCGAACCGACGCCATCTTTCTAAGTTGCCGCTTCTTGACAGCCGTGATGAGAGATCCCGGGATCGGGAGTCTACCAATGCAATGCTACCCATGCGTGCCGAAGCAGCGTAGGCCAGGGCGCGCCAAGGGCAAGGTTCCTGCGGCGCTCAGATTGGTTTTTCGAACAACGCGCATAAACACAAAATTTTTGTGTTTATGCTCGTCGTTGTTCGAAAATGTTCCATACTATTACTAGTACTACTACATAGTACTAGTACTCAGTACCACCGGTAGTAACATAACGACGTCAGTGCGAGTAGTGAGTCGAGTAGCCTAGACTAGCTATACTAGAGAGTAGAGGCAAGAGTACAACAGGCTGCTGCCGTGCTGGGAGAGTTGAACAGGCTAACGAGCGCAGTACGGATCCGACCTGGACTACAGACTACATACAGACTCACGTGAGTGCGTTCGATTTGGCCCACAAATCAATTAATTTGTTGAACCCATGAACGTGAATCCATTCATGAATCCATTCATGATCCATGCATAATCCATTCATGAATAGTATAATTCATGATTGGATTATTTATTACTAGTACCAAGAGTACATAACCAAGAGTGTGCAACTCTACGATCCCCCAGCCCACAGCGGAATTCTTTTATGACATCAGTCTTTCATTGTCTTTGGCGGCGGTTTAGCTCACTGATGCCATCATGCGTAGCCAGAGATCAAAGTGCAAATAATTTGTACATTACAGCTACGGTAGTCGAAGCAGAACAACGGACGAAAGATCGGCGTGTCTTGAACCTGACGAACTCTCACCGTATTTACAAAACAAGCGCCGGAAAGAATACCCACTTCATCATACTTCCGCCAAAGGATGAGGCAATAAAAAAATTCCGCCGTGGGTGAACCCATCGCAGCTCAAGATAGGAGTTTCCCACTCTTGGTTCTGTACTCTTGCTAGTACGGCCCTGGCTATTCTCATCACCCCCTGTGTGAATAGACGTTATTTGATTACATAATCAGTTGATGCTTCAACGAAAAGGCTGCGGACTCGCGGCACAGCGCTGCACTTGCTAGGGGTAAGCGGATTATGCGGGCATAATTTTTGGCATAATCAGGTCCTTTTTGAGAAGGAGCATACAATTGCATCCGAAAAAGAAGGGCCGATGCCCAATGAGACTGTTATACGCATAATTATAATAATAAATAATAATTGAAGGCATAATTGCCTCTTTTAGAAGGAGCATAAAACGGCATCCGAAAAACAAGGGCAGATGCTCAAGTTTGATGCTGTCATATATATGTACACACCTGCTATTGAAGGACCATACATTGCGCTTTTTGTCGATTTGGAATACTTTAGCAACCACCGATGCCGACTACCTCACATCGCCGTGATTCAATTCCCCAGTCCACTCCATCACCAGGCAGTACATTTACATCTTCTGCAACACCACCGATGATGTCATCCAGCGCTTCCTCAGCTGAAACACCAGCTAGAGTGCCCAGACAAGGTTCAGCCTCAGATCAGACTACTTTGCCCAGAAACACGTTGTCACCATCATCATCATCATCATCATCATCAGCAGCAGCAGCAGCAGCAGAAATAGCTGAATCTCCAACAAAGCAGGTAAGACTAACTTGCTTTTGAATGCAGAGTACGGGGCAGTTGTGACTTTTTGAGCTCTGCAAATTTTCAAGCCCAACCGGCACTAGGCCGGTCTGGAGGTAGGCATAACAGGCCCCTTGATGTGACAATGTTGTCTGAGGAGTCACCCACCGCACCAGCAGATGTAGACCTTGCTGTGATGGACAATCAGGAGATCCGGCATCTCGCCAAGACTCACAGACTGGAACACTCGGGACTTTCCCGTACCCAGATAGTCAAGCTTCTTCGCGACAACGGTATTGGTTCGTCGACAAACTCAGCAGGTCAGTCTGACAAGGTGCGCGATGTTGTTCAGCTGGCATTGGCCGATATTGCAAAAAATGTTAAAGAATTGGCCGCCAAGGTAGCCCTAATTTCTGCCTTGCAGTTGGAGGTGTCGTCCCTTCGAGGAGAATTGGCGGCTCTCAAAGAAAGGAACTCTGATCATGACCCTGTACAAACTAGCACACCGGAACCTCAACCCGTGCGTGTACAACCGCCTGCTGACAGCGTCAGGTTGTACAGCGCGGCGGCACGTGCACAGTCGTCACAGGTGCGAGCACGGGATAACACATGGGGAGGCCCCAGCCAGCAGGCCAGTACTACACGACCCCAAACAAGTCACCCAGGCACTCAGGTCACGTCGTACTATGAAAACCGGCCAAAGCGCTCTGATCAACTACAGGGAGGATCCCGCACAAAATGTTGCGCTTTGTATGTGGGCAATGTCAATAGTGGGTGCACATCAGAATCGATCGCCAAATGGTGTGAACGCCGAAATATACCTGTCATCAAGTGCTCCGTGTCTGAGACAAAGTACTTCGGGTTGGCCTTTGCTCACGTAATTCTGCCAATACAACACAAAGCTACTGTTCTGGAACCGGAATTCTGGCCTTCAAACGTCAGAGTTCGAGAATGGCGCTTCAAGGGTGACAGT